CCAGCAGTCCATGTCCGCGAAGCACTGGCACGCCGACTGGGGCAGCTGGAAGGCAGCGCGGCACCTGCGCGCGGTGGCCGACGGCAGGGCTTCGGCCATGGGGGGTCGCGAGCGCCAGGACCTTCTGCAGGGCGAAACGTCGCGCGCCAGGCATTCGAGGTTCCAGGCCGAGGTCCCGCGCCGCAAGCCCGCTGTGCGTTGACAAGTGCCCCCGGGGGGGGCGCGCCGACAGTGTCGTCTCTGGCGCGGAACCTTAGGCCCAGGGGCCATTCGCTCCGTGACGCGCGGGAGGCAACAGGCACTCGGGGTCGCAGTCCAGTGGCGCCCCAGAGCGCCGCCGAGGCAGAGCGAGATCGGCGCCCCCCGCCGGGCGACGAGGGGGGTCTCCTGAAGCTCTCGCGAAGTCCGCTATAGCGCGCCCCATGCAATTCTGCTGGCCCCGCCTCGCGCGCCCACCGCGGCGCGTCGAGATGGGGGGGGGGCCGCCATTAACGAGGGCGGTCCAGGTCGCGGGCGGTCGAGGCCCCGCGCGCCCAGCGGCTTCCCGCCTGGGAAGGACCGACGCAAGGGCAAGGCCAGGGGCCGGGGCCAGGGCAAGGGCGGCGGAGGCAAAGGCAAAGGGCCTCATAGAGGTACTTCTGCCTGCGTGGTCCAGATGCGAAGGGGGGCGAAGGCGACGCGGCGCCCCCGCTGCGACGGGCCCCCGCAACGCGATATAGTCCTTGACCGCCCGCGACAGCCGCGGCGCGACTGCCGCGGCGCGACTCGCCGCCCCCGCGCGCGCCAGCGCCCGAAGGCGCGAGCGCCGCGTCAGCCGCGCGCGCGCGCCGATCTCCTTCCAAAGCGTTGATCATAGATGCGGGGGCACCGTCATCGTCACCGGCGCGATCACCATCGGCGCCGCCATCGGCCTTGCCGCTGTCATCGTCATCATCGCCACCGTCATCGCTACTATCCCCATCATGTCTACCGTTGTCGACGTCTCCATCATGCCGCGCCTGCACAAATGCCCGACTCGCATTGAAGTGTCCGCGGGGAAATGCCCAGCGGTCAGCGCCACCGCGGCCGCGGCGGTCGCGCCATACTAGCTGGCCGCCGCGTGGGCGAGCATACGCGGGCTAGCGCGGCCGCAGAGAAGTCCAGGCGGCGGGGGCAGCGACGGCGCAGCCGCCTCGGAACAGCATGGGCGCTTCCAAGAGGCATGGAGCGGCGGCGATTCGCCGCAGGCGTTGTGCGTCGACTATTCAATCCTCAGGACTCAGGACAGGGGGATGCGGAGGACCTGATAACACTCCAACCCGTGCCTCGCGGTACGGTGGCTGAAGGGGCGACCTGCTTGATTCCCCCTCCTGACCTGTTCCGTCGTCGCATGTGCTGCCCTCGCGCTCCCTGGTCCGGTTTCGTAGCTCTAGCTATTTTTTTACACCGACGAGCTCAGCGACTACGCGTGGTAGTTCAAGTTTGTGTGTTCCCGCGCTGAGCGGAGGTCAAGGGGCGCCCGTGGTTTGGCTCGCGGCCGCTTCGCGAGCGGGGCCTCCCCCCCCTGCCTTGCGAGAGGCAGTGCGGGGGGGGGGGGGGGGGGGGCGTTGGGGCTCGCCTTCGAAGACGGCGAGCTGCAGGCCGCTTGAACTCGCCTTCGACTGCGGCGAGCTCCGCTCCGCAGTCAAACCGAGCGGCCGCTCGCACCACAGGGTTCCCGCCGCTGCGGCGTGCTCATAGACTGCGCGCCGCGCAGCAAGGAGGAGGATGGGGACATGCGTAGCATGGGTCATTCACATGCATTTAAGCATAGAACGGAGTATACCCATCTACATACATGTGTACAACATTACAGTTTAACAACATTGCACACATATACATGCATACATGCATATCCGTAGCCACGTTGGCTCAAGTCCGGGGCGTCTCGCCCAGGACGGCACGTGGGAGCCGCGGTCCACGGACTCACCAGAGTGACCCCGCGTGCTCAGGGTACCCTCGGTGCGCGCGTCACTCGACACTGCGCATCTCCAGCTGGAGGCATGGAGGTTTCATCCCTCGCCCCTTGCCATCAGACTGCACGTCCTCCTCTTGCCCCTCTAGGGGTATGCCAGATGGGGTGGCGTCGTGGCATCTTCTTCTCAGCGCAACGGACGCAGTGGCAGAGGTGGCACTCAGGCGTCCAGGCATCGCTACATCGGCGACACCGCGGCGTCGCAGGTCAAGGCCGGTCGCAGCCCCAGGCCTGGCCGCAAAGCCCGCGACCAGTTTGTGGATGCCGACCCGTGGCGGGAGGCTGCCGCCGCTTCGTCGGCCGCCCTTCCTGCTACTCCTGCTGCAGACGGGTCTCCGCTGTGACTTGCATGACATCCTGGCCGAGCTGCGCGCGGACATCGCCCAGTCCATGGCCGCCGCCGCCGCCGAGGGCGCTGCCGAGATGGCGCGCATAGTCGCCGAGAGCACCGCCGTGGCCATCCGCTCCTTCGCGGAGCGCCAGGGAGCCTTCCATGAGGAGATGGGC